TCAAATCTGGCAGTCCTGTATGTGTAATTCAATTACATCCTAAATATAGCAACTCGAGCTGAGTTTCATGAAGAGTATTTCAGTAAGTTATTTTTGTTATATTTGTGTAATTGTAGAGATTTCATTTGTTTAGCCAACAACATTTCATGAAATTTCACACAATTTGGTTGAAATACCATCCATTTCAGGGATGGTTTGTTTAGGTTTTACTGTCATCAAAATTGAAGATGACAAATTCCACACTCATACACCACTTCTATAAAGGTCAAATCCTATACAACTAGTCTCTTGCTGCTTGACTTCCAGTTGCCTTGAAAATCATGCCTCCTTAAAAGTTTTTTCCTACTATCCATGGTATAACATCAAAGCACTTTTCCATCCACTGAATTCACTCACATGTAACAGCTTGCTTTTTACTTTACTAAAATCCCTGTCTTTTAGGCTTCTAGCCTTAAATTACTGCACACTGCTATGATACTTCTTCTTTCGTATTCTTTTTCCAGCTTGATGACACCTTTTTCCCCCATCATAAAATTCTCTGAAAGTTAACTGGTTACATTAAACGTATTTGTAAATTAAGTTCTTCAGCTAGTGACTTAACCTCTGGTCACTTGAAATGGAATCTTATTCTGGAACCACATTCAAGCAGGATTCAAGTGTGACACAACATTACTTGATTAGGTTTAACTGCATTAAAAAACACACAGTCTACATGTGTCTGACACTCCTTGTTTAATTGCCATTTTATTAATTCATTCAAACAGATAGAAGAAATGATTACATACTTCATAATAAGTACTGTTATATTGAACATTAAAGCATGCAAATATGCAAAGAAAAATGGAAAATATTTTGTTCAAAGCTTACAAGCTAGACCAAATGTATCTTTATATACACTACTTTGTGTGGCATGAATCAAAATTTATTTAACAGAAGGTACAAAGGTAACTTTTAACAGTCACTCTACAAATAATTTCCTCCCTGAAACTATTTGGGAGACAACTTCAAAACATAAAGAATACAAAGATCCGAGTAAACCAAGTATGTGGAATAAAAAAGAACCTGAGTATGTACTAACTGCAGCTGTACAACCTAAGGCAATCTATTTCCATTGTTCCACATTTGCCACTCTGACAAATCATATAGAATCATACTGTAGAGATGAGGCCCTTCAGCCCATCAAGTCTGTAACACTAAGAATATACTGCTACATACAGTAGTCCCACTTTCCAAACTAGGTCCATAGCCTTGAATATTATAATACTTCAAGTGTTCACCCAAGTACTTTTAAAGGTTGTGAGGTTTCATGCCTCAACTACTCTCCCAAACTCCACACCCTCTGAGTGAAAAGTATTTCCTCAAGTCCTACCTAAACCTCCTGACTTGCACTTTAAAATTATGCTGCCTTCTTACTGACCCTTCAACTAAGCAGAACAGCTACTTTCTATTCACCTTGTCCATGCCCTTCATTATCTCATACACTTCTATCAGTCCTCCACTTACCTTCTCTGCTCCAAAGAAAATAACCTGACCTTATCCAGCCTCTCTTCATAGCTGAAATGCTCCATCCCAGAGAATTTCCTGATGAATCTCCCTGGCACGCCCTCCAGTGCAATCACATCCTTCCTATAGTGTGGTGACCAGAACTGCACACAGTACTCTAGCTGTGGCGTAATCAAAGTTCTGTACAGCTTCAACATGACATCCCTGCTCTAATAATCTTATCCCATGACTGATAAGTGCATCACCCCACATTTATCAGGGTTAAATTCGATCTGCCACTGATCTGCCCAACTGACTAATCCATTTATTTTCTCTTGTAACTCAACAGCTTCCTCCTTTCAGTCAACAATCTGGCCAATCTTTGTGTTATCCATAATTGCATCTTCCCTTCCACATTCTCATCTATGTAATTTACGATTATCACAAACAATAAGGGACCCAGCATTAATCCCTGTGGTAGGCCACTGCACACTGGGCTCCAGTCTAAAACAGCTTTCTACCACAACCTTCCATCTCCTGTCACTAAGCCAATTTTGGATCCATCTTGCCAAGTTACCATGGATCCCATGAGCATTTACTTTCTTTATCAGTTTCCCATATGGGACCTTGTCATAGGCCTCGCTGAAACCAATGTAAACTACATCAATTCCTCTACCGTAATCCAAACACTTGGTCACCTACTGAAAAAAATCCATCAAATTTGTTCGGCATGACCTCCCTCTGACAAAGCTATGCTGACTACCCCTGATCAAACCTTGCCTCTCTAAATGGACATTAATTTTCTCCTTCACTATTTTCTATAGTTGTCAATTCTTATCCTCTGTCAAAATGAAACATTAGTAAAAATTTTTCAAGTAATGGTATATGTATGGAATATAACATCTAATGCAAGATGGAAGAAACAATTCTTAACTCCAATCTATTAGTTTTTCTCCCCCACAGTCATGGGCAACAGATGTTTTTTAAAATTTCTTTTGACTACCTAAGTTCTGTGTTCAATGTAGCTATTAAGACAGGAAAATTAAACAATTTAGAAATTTGGACACCCGAAGCACTATTATTGGCGCAATGGCTGCAACCCAAAGTGGATATCTTCTATTTACCATAAGTAAGTTGAGACTAATTAAATTCATTTCACACAAGTTGTGACAACCACAGACCACTGTCCATCAATCTGACTGAAGTTGAAACCAAATTTCAGAGTTGTTTTCAAAACTGATAGTCTAATCGGCTTAGAAATTCTTGATATTACCTAATTTCAAGTTTGAGTATTACTTGGAAATAAGTTATAGGAAATTCTTCGAGTTTCATGAGGTTTAAATGTTAAATTTTCATCTGTACAGCATCCTTAATGAAGTAAAACGTCCCAAACTCTTCAATGGTATGTAACAAGACAAAAAGTTGATATTGAGCACAAAGCAATTATTTAATAACAAGCAACTAAAAGCCTGGTCAAAGAGATAGATTTTAAGGAGCATTTTTAAAAAAAACGAAAAGCAGAGACATTTTAGGGAGAAAATTAGAGTGCTGAGAGACAGGCATGGCTGCCAAAGGTATTGCAAAGAAAATGGGGGAATGCAAAACTGTCCAAAAATAGAGGAACACAGTTCTTGGTGGCTTATGGCTGGTAAAGATTACAGAAATGGTTTTCAGGGTGATGGTGGGAGATGAGACTGTGGAGTGATTTGAACAAAAGAATGAGCAACACCACATTCAAGGATTTACGGAGGTTAGAGATCAGGCTATCACTTGCAAGGGATGAAGAGCAATTTTCTTTTTCATAGAATGGGGTGGTGGCAGACTTAAAAATGGAGCTTTAACTGATGGCATGAAGCTTGCCACATGGTCAGGTAGCATGGAGGCCAGGAAGGAAAACTGGATGGTCAGAAATATAGCAAAAAAGTAACTGGGGGAGTACTGGTTTGGTTTCTTGGGCAGGATGATCTCAGAGCAGGCGTGAACAAGACCAAAGATAAAGAGAAAATCTGGGTTCAGAGCTAGGTTCTGGTATTTGATTCTCAAAGTGGGTGTAATAGGAGGTAAGGGAACCTTGGCTTGTTGAGAAAGGGGATGGGATAAATGTAGCAGAGGCAGAATTTAATGGCCTTAACCTAAGTGACATCCAATAGCTCCACAAATGTGAGATGTGAAGAGGAAAGGTAAAAGAATCAAAGAAGACAGCTTGTTATGGACTACATTCCAGGATGATCTTGGAAAACTGAGTAATTGCGGTCATAGACAACAAGGTCTGACAGTGCTTCATGTGGGCCAGCTGAGGTGATGGCTAATCAGATTGTGTGTATTTGTGTTCACGTCTGCGAAGACACTGACCATATTACCTGGATGGTAAAGTGAGGGTTTTACTAAGGACAAGAGAATCAAAGTGGAGGTAAGAGACTTGTTAAGTAGATTAAGTAGTTAAGTAGACCTGCTAATGTATCAGAAACTCAAAGACTGAACAATTGGCAGTCTCAAATTGCTGTTGTAAGCAACAGAAAGAGATTTTTCAGAGGTTGACACAAAGGAAGTTGGGTTGGAACTGGAAATAAAATATTGAGTGATGAGGTATATAGAAAGAGGTAATCTGCAATTGATTTTATGGCAAAGTCATAGATTTGGCTGTAAACCTGGGTAAGGAAAGATTAAAGGAGGTCAGGAAGCAAAGAACTTATATAAACGGAGTAAACGTATCAAGGGCAAGGTTGAAATCATTAAGGAGAAGTCACTCAAGTGCAGAGGCTAAGTGAACAAAGCAGTAAGAGTAGTGAGAAATATAGTGAGAAGTGTAGATGGGCAGTAGAGAAGATGGTAAAGATGATGCAGGAGGGATGGAACAAAGTGTGGTGTCAAAGGAGAATACGATACCAGGGGAACACAAGATAGACCAAGGTAAGGTTGGCAAGCTCAGTCGCTATGAGGTAGGAATGTCAGCAAGAGCGGACTGAGGTTGTAAGAAGGTCTTCACAGAAAGGCTAGGAGAGGCAGAGAGAGCACATGCAAGCTTATCCCAGATGGATAAACTACTTTTCAATTGAGGTATTCAGCAATTAGGATTTATGAATAGCAGTGTCAAAACAAATTGGTATGGTATGGCGAGGTGGAAGCAGAAAATTTAGACTATAATTCCAGATTTGTTTTATGCTGCAAATTTTGTAAAGTTGTGATAACTGTTATAGGTTATTCTAAAATTTCCAAGTTCCTATTTGAATATTACTTAGTTCAGAGCTTAATGTTTCTAATTTAAACTGGAAAAGAGAGAGCTCAAAGTCATTATCACTATTAAAGATTTCAATTCTATTTTCAAAAAGAATTTCATAGAGAATCTATAATGTAACAAAACAGTTCATTGTAGAAACTGATAAACTCACAAAAACAAGCAGGATCTTTTCAGAAAGTTTAGAAAATATTCCATTCAGTTTCTATGTACAATACTTATACATTTCCTCAGATGCAACAAAGCAGCAAATCACAGAACTGAAACAACAGTAATTACTCACCGTAGTAAAAACACCGGAGGCCGTAGACCAAGACAGACAAGGTACCAGTGGTATGGGTTTGGGCCAGTTACTTGCAGCCAACGATGCCATCTGGAAACAGATATTTAGTATCACTGAAATTAGTAGAAAGCAATTTTCTCCAGAATCCACAGATCAATTTTTCTGAAAGCTAAAACTTAAAATTGCTTCTTTTATTTAAAGACAATTGTTCAAAATTCAAATATAAAACTTAACATTTATATTCTGGGATAGTCTATGCACTTTTGGGTAAAAACCTATGTTTTATGTATGAGGATGTTCTCTTCAAGAAGTAGTTTTCCAAGACAGGCTGATCAGATAATCTGATCAGTGGCAAAGAGAATTCAATCTGGATAAGTCCAAGGTGATGCAGATGGCAGAATAAACAAGGCAAAGGAATACATGATGAACAGTAGGACTTTGTGAACACTGAGGATCAGGGAACTCAAGGTAACGGGATGAGTAGATAAAGTGGTTAAGAAAGCATGCGGGATACTTGCCTTTTGTTAGCTGAGGCACAGAGTTTAAGAGTAGGGAGGTTATACTGGATTTGTATAAAATGTTGGTTAGGCTACAGCTAGAGTATTGAGTGTATTTCTGGAATCCACAGTATACGAGGGATGAGATTGCACTGGAGAAGGTGGAGAGATGATTTTCAAGGATGTAGCTTGGGCTAAAAATTTTTGTTATGAAGAGAGACTGGACAGACTGGGGTTGTTTTCCTTTGAGCAAAGGAAACTGAGCAGGACATGATTGAGATGTATAAAATTATGAGGGCCAAAGATAGGTACACAGGAAGGAACTATTCCCCTTTGTGGAGGGATCAATGACCAAGGAGTATTGATTTAAGGTAAGGGTCAAGAGGTTTAGAGGATATGTGAGGAAAATCTTTTCGAACTTGGAAGGTGGTGGGAAGCAGGAACTCACTGCCTGTAATGGTGGTAGATGCAGAGATCCTTATAACATTTAAATAGTCTTTCGGTGTGCACTTGCAATGCCAAGGAATACAGGGCTAAGTGCTAGAAAAGGCAATGAGAATAGTTCAGTGTTGGTTTTTGACCAGCACAGACTTGATAAGCCCAAGGGTTTTTCTCTGTGCTGCAGACCTCCATCACAGAATCCCTACAGTGTGGAATCGGGACATTCAGCCCACCGAGTCCACACTGACCCTCCGAAGAGCAGCCCACCCAGATCGTCTACGCCCCCACCTTATCACCATAACCCTACATTTCCCATGGTTAATCCACCCAGCCCACACACCCCCGGACGCTATGGGCAATTTAGCATAGCCAATCCATCTAACTTGCACACCTTTAGACTGTGGGAGGACCCGGAGGAAACCTGCAGACACGTGGAGAATGTGAAAATTCCACACAGTTGCCTGAGGGTGGAATCAAACCTGGTCCCTGGCACTGTGAAGCAGCAGTGCTGACCACTGAGCCACCGTGCTGCCCTAATGACTCTACAATGGACTAGTTGTTGTTTTAAAAAAAAAACTTGCTTGCAGTAACTGTTCATTTTTCTAATTTGCCTGGGAGATAAAAGTGGAAAAGTAAAAGGATCAAAAAAAGTTATTTACAGTGGAGATGCCAGAAGAGAACAGTAGATTGTGTGGGGTTCTGTTTTCAACTTTAGCATAGAGACAAAAAAAAAACTTTAAATGCTGGTATCCAAATAGACAAACAGGAGGCTGGAAGAACACAGCAAGCCAGGCAGCATCTGGAGGAAAGGAGCAGTCAATGTTTCAGGCATTACCCTTCTTCAGGACTGGATGTGGGAGTAGCGAGAGCTGCAGATAAAGAGGGGAGGGGAGGGGAGGGGTTGAGGCAGAATGGTGGTGATTGGTGGATACTGGTAGTAGGTATGACCTGGTTGGTCGACAGCAGGGATGAATCCAGTTGTTTGCTGGAAGGGAATGGAAGGGAGGGGGTGGGAATGGAAGGGAGGGGGTGGGAATGGAAGGGGAGGGGGGGGGGGTGGGGGGGAAGGTTATTTGAAATTGGAGAACTCAATGTTAAGTCCTCCGGGCTATAGAGTGCCCAGGCGGAAGAGAAGGTGCAAATTTATGTTGCAAGTCACTGCGACACTGGAGGCAGAGGACAGACAGGTCAGAGGTGGAGTGGGGCGGGAAGTTGAAATGGGCGGAGACTGTGACGTTAGGTTGGCCGTTACGGGCCAGGTGGAGTTGCTCGGTGAAACAGTCACCTAGTCTATGTTTGGTCTCACCGACGTACAGAAGACCATGTCAAAACCACCAGATACAAAAGCCTAGGTTGGAGGAGATGCAGTGAAGCTCTGTCTCATTTGGAAGGACTATTTAGAGTCCTAAATGGAGGTGACAGTGGTGGTGTGAGAGCAGGTGTTGCATCTTTTACAGTTACTGGGGAAAGTACCAGATGGGTTAGAGTGGTCAGTGGGGAGTGTGGCGTGAACTCCTTAGATTAGGTGACTGTTTCGCTGAGCATCTTCACCTGGCTGGTAACGACCAACCTAACCTCCCAGTCACCACTCGTTTCCCCCTCTCTTTATCTGCAGCTATCCCTACCCCATATCCAGTCCTGAAGAAGGGTAATACCAGAAACATTGACTGCTCCTTTCCTCCAAATGCTACCTGGCTTGCTGTGTTCTTCCAGTCTTCTATTTATCTGACTTTAGCATAGGTTGGCTGCAGGAAACATCTTCCAAAAAAAATTCAATTAGAATTTTGTGCAGTAGCCTACAGTGTTTAAAAAACCTTGATAGTGGACAGTCTTTACTAACAGCATCTTGGACTTCTGGGATAACCAAACTGAGAAGAAAAAGGAGGGAACTGCTAGATGCAAGACTCCAGAGAAAAAGAATATTAGAACTCTTTGAGGAGGTAACAAGCAGGATTAATAAAGGGGAAGCAATGTGTGTAACATATTTGGATTTTCAGAAGGATTTTAATAAGGTCCACACATTAGTCTACTTAATAAGAGCCCATGATGTTGAAGATAGTTTATCAGAATAGGTAGAGATTGGCTAACTAATAGAAGACAGAAAGTGGGATAATGGGGCATTTTTAGACTAGAAATCAGTAACTAGTAGTGTGCTACAAGGATCAGTGATGGAGCCACAATTATTACAATAGATATTAATAATTTGAAGGAGGAAAGTGAATGTGCTGTAGCCAAGTTTGTGGATGACACAAAAATAAGTGGGAAAGCAAGTGATGAGGATGGCATGAAGAGTCTGCAAAGGGATATGGACAGATTAAGTGAGTGGATAAAAAACTTGGCAGACAGAATATAAATGTGGGGAAATGTGAGCTTATGCATTTTGACAGAAAGAAAAGCTGAATATTATTTAAACAGAGAAAGACTACAGAAAGCTACAAAAGAGAAGGATTTAGGCATCCTTGGCCATGAATCAAAAAACACTTCAAAAAAACAAATTCATTGATAATAGGAAAGGCAAATGGAATTGTGACCTTTATTTGAAAGGGAATGGAATATAAAAGTATGGACGTTTTGCTGAAAGGCACTAATCAGACCACAAGTAGAATACTGTGAATAATTCTAGATCCCTTATCTAAGGAAAGATACACTGGTATTGGAAGCAGTTCAAAGAAGGGTCACTAGGCTGATACCTGTCTTATGAGGAGAAATTGAGTAGAGTGGGCCTATACTTGTTAGAATATAGAAGGATGAGCAGCAACCTTACTAAAACATGCAAGATTCTTAGAGGACTGTACAGGGTAGATGTAGAAAAGTTGTTTCCCCCCTATGGGAGAGTCTAAGACCAGAGGGCACAATCTCAAAATCTCATATACTTAAGATAGAGATAAGGAAAAATGTCCTCTCTCAGTGGGTAGTGAATCTGTGGAAGTCTCTACCACAGAAGGCTGATGAAGCTGGATCATTAAAGTATACTGAAACCTGAGATAAACAGATTTTTAATCATTAAAGGAATCGGGGTTATGTGGAAAAGGCAGGGAAGTGGAGTTGATGACTGAATTGCGTAGCAGAATCAATGGGCTGAATGGTCTATTTCTGCTTCTATTTTTAATGATTTTAGAACCAGAGTTCAGACCCAAGGTGTTCACATTCAAATCACTCAAGATGTTTTGGATTTGAGCAAAGAGTTTATTACCATGCGATGGTTGCAGGAGATTTGAAAGGACAACCATACTAGAGCAAAGAATTATGTCATTTCAACCCTTATGAATTTTTGAAACAGTACTCCAGCACTGAGAACAAATGGTTAGTTTTCCAATTTATGCATTGTTAAGGTACAAGTCAAACGGGTATAAAAGGAAAACAGAGTTAAGAAGTTCAGCTTAGTGAATAAGTAACTGTGTTCATTGTATTTTTAATATATTCCACAATTTAAAGTAGAATATAACTATTATTCACATTCTTTGACTCTTGTGTAGGAACTTTCATTTGTTTGATCAGCCAGTCTTGTGGCTTAAATTTATTTGGTAAATATCTGGATTTTCAGATTTCCAAATAAAAATGTTTCTAGTCTCTCCTAAGATCATAATTCTTTAGCTCTGAACTGATGCATAAGAATAAGTCTAATATCTTACAATACTAATTCCTCTTGTATCCATAAGATTCTTCCCACTTTTCTGGCCTGCTCAAGTTTATTCTGCTCCCATTTGATAAAACAATCAAGGTTTTCTGCTCCACCGACAGTGCCCATCCAAGCCTAACATTTCTGTAGACTGATGTCTAACCTTTAACTACCCATCTCCTCTTCTTCTGCCTGTATCCCATTCTCTCCCCATCCAGCAATCCCTATCACCCTTCAGGTTCCCAACTGCAACATGAACTGCAATATTCAAGTATTTTTTAATATCATGTTAAAATGTCATTTTTCATACTTCTACAAAATTCCATCAACTAAACTATTTCAAGAACTAGAGTATGTGTTAATGATGATAATTCAATACAAATTTTCAATATTTTAGGAAAGAAATGGGGTGCATCAGCCTAATGGTAAACTTGGGATGCTCGATGAAGCTAAGCCACGTGAGCAGACAGTCTAGCTTTAAAGTCCAGGAGGAAGTAACCTAAGGGAAAATGGAACCAAGAGAGAATGGCAAAACACAAGGGCCCTGGAATCAAAGCAGAAATTGCCAAATCTGACAGCAAGTGTAAGTCAAGAGTAGAGAAGCCAGGTATGGAAGGGTCAGGTAAACATTGACAGAAGTAGAGGGATTAGCCTCTAATAACTAAAAGACCAATAGGTAACAAATCATCTATCCTGAACCACAGTAAAAGAAATATAAAACTTGAACAAAAAAAATCACTTTGCACAGTCAATTTGCAGTACTTTCAACCTCTATTTCCTTCAGATATGACATGTTCTCACCTTCTATACAGCTTTATGAAATGGTAAAACTTACATGACCTCCCATTGATATCCCTGTCATTCCTAGAGGTCCATAACCCCCTCTCTCCAACCAATGAAGAAGAGCTGCAGACTCCAGGACTAGAGCTCCTCCCATTACAAACAGATCAGAGACATTCCTTAAACTTGACCTCCTGTCCAGAGAAAATAAGATGGAACATTTGAAAACTGGATCCATTTAATTGCAGCTTTAAGATTTTTCCCTTCAAACCATCTTGTTAAATATATGTTAATATCAATATAAAGAACACTAGAAATCTCATGAGAAAATTTCCCTTTCCTGAAGGTACAATCATATGCTGCGTTATGATTTGCAGATTTTCTTTTTTGCCTCAAGTGGCCATTCTTGAGGCACGAACATAGACGGTAAGCTTTAGACTAATGGACAATAACACAGGCCAACACTGAAGAGTTCAGCCCCTTTCCATGCAACATCATAAGCCACAGAATGGTGGACAGTGTCAGCGAGTTGGCTTACCTTTCCCTTTCTGATTTCAGATATGTGGACGCGACTGCACCACTTCTGTTGTTATGCAAACTACTGCTCTACTGTCAATATAAAAGATTCTGAATTCAAATCTTTCCCAATATCCTAAATAAGACAGCATAATTGCTGAAAAGATGGATTAAAGTGATAATTTCCTTCTCATACGTGAGACTTCATAAAGGATTAGCTCTGTTCATTTTGTTAATCTGTTCAGTTCACTCACCTCAACAGTGATCCTTCTTCCAGACATAAACAGGCAACTCAATTTATCTGAATCTTCACAATTTCTAACATTCTGCAGAGATGGAAATTGGAAACTATGCTACCTAGAATATGGTTAAACAGATTCCCAGCACAAAGTGCTAACAGAACTGATTATATCCAATTAGAAATTCTAGGGATTGCTGGTCACATTTAATCACCCGACAAAGGAGTAGTGCTCCGAAAGTTTGTGACTCCAAATAAACCTATTGCACTATAATCTGGTGTCGTGTGACTTCTGTCTGTGTCCACCCCCAGTACCTCCACATCATGGCTACCAATAAAACAAAGAGCTCATCCATACAATGCTACTTCTTCTGTTAAAATAAAAACTTAAACAATCATAAATTCTCTGCTTTACTGCGAGTTTATGCTAATGTTTTAACCTGTTGAAAGACAGGGGAATGAATTCTAAGTTTGCAAGTCAAGCACGCAAAACTGAGGCATCAACCCTGAAGAACAAAACTTCTTGCTCCAGTACAAAAATTGTTTTTTGTTTTACTCCAATTTTAGTTATTGAAAGAGACCACAATCTGGAGAGATTCACAATAAAATAAAACACAAGAACTGATTAAGAATTTCAGTAATCCATTGTTTTAAAGAATAGGCTTAAATTGAGAACAGAGCATTCTGGGCACAAACTACTGATTATCTCACAATAAGACAAGTGTTGTGAAGTGATAGAAATCTGCCCAGCCCAAGCAGATACAGATGCATAATCAATAAAAGAAGTAAAGAGAAAGAAGTATACCTTAGCATTATATATAAAGATTTATAACATGTTATCATTTAGAAAATTGGATTATAAAGTTGAGGCAAACAACTTTTAGTTTTAGCACCGTGAAGGTGATTTTGTTTTTTTAAAAGAAGAGGTCAGAAAGTCATAATATTATTTTCAAGAAAGCAGGTAACTTAAGCCAAATTAATAGATAAACTACCTGGAGTTAATTGATGTAATATTTACAAACAGAGCTTCTGTGACACAGAAATGGACAAAGTAAGGACCACAATTAGGTTTCAGTCAAGAATAACAGTTTAGTCGCCAATAGCAAATGTTTGTAATGTCATCAGTTAAGAAAGAAATTAAAGAGTTAAGATAGGAATGACTGTGAAGGATATTGCGGGAAAAGGTTGAATCTTTATTCTTGCTGTTTATGTTATGATCTTTCTAAATTGTCACACACAAAAATATATCTTTTGTTCTATTGTATTCTTCTTTTTAGAGAATGTTGGCAACCTCGTGTAAACTTGTTTGGTGATTGAATACCATGGCAACCAAACTGCAAAAAATAAAACTTCTGATCTATAACAACAAACAGAGAAAGCTGAAGAAATTCAGTAGATCTGGCTCTCCACGTGTGGAGACAAAAACAAAGTTAATGTTGCACTTATTATTATGATCCATGAAATCAGATTTCATGCCAAGATCTGATGTCTTCAGTATCACCACCTGCTGAATCATAATAATGTCCAATTTTCTCTGCTAAAACTTAACGTCAAGAAAAAATGAAAGTGGGAATTAGGAGAATTTTCTCAAAATTGGTTAGGGGAGAAATTAATTATCTTGCAGGTCATGTGTTGTGGCAGTTATACAGGGCTTTGGTGAGGCCACACCTAGAATATTGTGTGTAGTTTCGGTATCCTTTCCTGAGGAGGGATGCTCTTGCTCTCGAGGGAGTGCAGCGAAGGTTTACCAGGCTGATTCCGGGGATGGCAGGACTGACGTATGAAGAGAGATTGACTAGGTTGGGATTGTTTTTGCTGGAGTTCAGACACATGGGGGGGGGGGGGGTCTCAGGGGGAGGGTCCTGTTAAAATTTTAACAGGACTAGACAAGGTAAATGCAGGGAGGATGCTCCCGATGGTGAGTGTGTCCAGAACCAGGGTCACAGTCTGAAGATTTGGGGTAGACCATTTAGGATGGAGATGAGGAGACACTTCTTCACTCAAAGAGTGGTAAGCCTGTGAAATTCATTTCCATAGGAAGTAGTTGATGCAAAATCATTGAATTTATTCAAGAGGCGGCTAGATGTAGCATTTGGAGTGAATGGGTCAAAGGCTATGGAGAGAAAGCAGGATTACGCTATTGAGTTGGACAATCAGCCATGATCGTGATGAATGGCAGAGCAGGCTCAAAGAGCCGAATGGCCTCCTCCTGCTCCTATCTTCTATGTTTTTGTGTCATGGACGTTGACACAAATAGGGGTGATGGGTCACAGTGGGGAAATCCTGAGCACATTAAGACAAAATACTCTAATTCAATTTCTCAGAAGTAATCCAAGGGAGTTAAAGAATTGAAGCATTAGATACCTGAACACCAAAGAATGAAGATTCTCATTCAGAATTATGTCTGTATGTAAACAATTTAGCATTTTTAGTAATAAGAATGATCAAAATTTGAGCATGGTTAGAGAAAAGCAAAGGTGTCCAATTTCCTGGGAGGAGAGAGAGGGAATAAACATGAGCAGATACAAGAGTACTGAAGCACTTATTGATAAAATACTTACATTTGATCTTTAGGTTTTCTATAGCCATGTAAAATTACTGTCAAGGAAAGTAGTTCATTTCAATACTTATTTTAAAATATATATAAAGGAGATAATGGATTTAAAGAAATTTTAATATACAATAAACAGACAAAAACTATATCAATTACTCAGATCAGGAGACTTAAGTGTAATTTATCCAATTTGCTGACAAAGTTAGGTGGGTAAGTTAGGAGGTGGACTCAGAGGGATAAACAAGTTGGATGAATGGGTAAGAAAGAACATAGTGGATGTAAAACAATGTAGAGAAGTATGACATTATCGACTTTGGCGGAATTTTTTTTAAAAATGCTTTTCAAATGATGAGATATTGAAAATTGATTGCATTCATAGGGATGTGTGTTCTTGGACATGGATCACAAAATTGACATTCAGGGATAGCAAAACAATTAGGAATGAAAATAGCATATTAGCTGAAGGGCGGATTTGGGTACAAAAGTAATAAAAAAAGTCTAACTGCAATTATACAAGATAATGATGAGGGTACACATGGAATAGCATGCAGAGTTTTAGTGTCCTTACCCAAAGGAGGATACACTTTCCCCAGAGGAGGTACAAATGTAATGGAGCTGGACCAACAAAGACGGTCAGACAGCATCAGAGGAGCAAGAAAGTCAAAGTTTCGGGCCAAAACCCTTCATCAGGGCTGGGGAAGGGGAGGGGAGCCCAGAAACAAATAGGGGGAGGGGGTCAGGGCTGGGGAAAGGTAGGTGGGATGGTGACAGGTGGATGCAGATAAGGGGTTATAGTGATTGGTCACTGGGAGGGGTGGAATGGATAGGTGAATAGGAAGATGGACAGGTAAGGTCAGGTCAGGAAGGCAGGACATGGGATAAGGCTGGGGGTGGAGGGATTTTGAAGCTGGTGAAGTCAATATTCAGGCCCTTGGGCTATAAGATCCCAAGGCAAAATATCAGGTATTGTTCCTCCAGTTTACATTTGGCCTCACTCTGACAGTGGAAAAGGCCAAGGATGGACATGTCACCAGGGGAGTGGGAGGAGGAATTAAAATGTTTGGCAACCAGAATGTCGGCTTGTTTGGTCTCTGTCCTGGAGAAGAATGCCTCATCCTGGGAGCAGATGCGGCAGAAGCGGAGGAATTGAGAGTATGGGATCGCATTTTTGCAGGAGAATGGGTAAGAGGACATATTGTCAAGGTAGTTGTGAGAGTCGTGAGCTTGAAATGGATGTCAGTGGTGAGTCAACTCTGGCTTCCAGCATCTGCAGTCCTTACTGTCTTGAGGTAAAAATGTACACTGACTGGTTTCTGTAATAAGGAGATAGACCAATTAGCAAGATAATCCACGAACTGGTCCCTTAGTCTAAGGTTCGGTATCCCTGACATAGAGGGGACCACATTGGGAGCAACGGATGCAATTAGTCAGGTTGGATGAGGTGCAGGTTAATCTCTGCCAGATCTGGAAGAATTGTTTGAGGCCTTGGAAGAAGGTGACGGGGACGTGTGGGGGCAGGTGTTGCACCTCTTGCGGTTGCAGGGTGTGATGGAGAGGTTGGTTGGGAGTATAGAGCTGACGAGGGAGTCGCAAAGTGAACGGTCCCTCCAGAAAGCAGACAGGGGTGGGGAAGGAAACATCTTTCTGGTGATGGGGTCTGATTGTAGGTGGCGGAAATGTTGGAGGATGATGCACTGGATTTGGAGGCTGGTGGGGTAGTACATGACGACTAGGGGGAACTCTATTCTTATTGTTGTGGGGAGGGATTTGAGGGCAGCAGTGCGGGATATTGGGGAGATGCAGTTGAGGCCATCCTTAATTACAGCAGAGGGGAAACTATGGTCTCTGTCCTGGAGAAGAATGCCTCATCCTGGGAGCAGATGCGGCAGAAGCGGAGGAATTGCATTTTTGCAGGAGAATGGGTAAGAGGACATATTGTCAAGGTAGTTGTGAGAGTCGTGGGCTTGAAATGGATGTCAGTGGTGAGTCAACTCTGGCTTCCAGCATCTGCAGTCCTTACTGTCTTGAGGTAAAAATGTACACTGACTGGTTTCTGTAATAAGGAGATAGACCAATTAGCAAGGACTATATATTTGCTGGAGTTTGGAGGAGTGATAGGTGATTTAACTGAAATATTAAATTCTCAATGAACATGAAGGTAGATGCTAAGAAGAATTTTCCCTTGGCTGAGACATCAAGAAGGTAGGAGTCAGGATTTTACCAACACTCTGGAGATGGGCTGGGAGGCAGAAGGCTAGAAAAATTGTATTGGGAAGCTTCCAATTATCATGAGATATTCTGAAATGTGGAAACAGAAGTAGCTCTGCCAACCAATGTACAGAGGCCACTGGCAGTTAAGAGAATAGCTGTTGCAATCTCGCTGCTTGGTCATGCCAGATGTTTCATCTTTATGGTAGCACTTGACCAGCAAAACTCTGGCCATAGGTTTAAAGATGTATTCAGCAACTTGGGATTGAAATACTGAAATTAAGATACATTTCTTCACTCAGAAGTGTTGCGAATCATTGAAATTTTCTATTGTAGAGACTCTGGATATTCACTTATCAAGTAATTCAAGGGAGAAATCAATAAACATTTGGAAATTATGGGAATCAAGGAATATGAGCTAGTGTGGGAAAGTGAAGTAAGAATGGAAGAAATAGGAACAACAGTAGGCCATTCGGCTCCTTGAGCCTGCTCCACCATTCAACAGGGTCATCGCTGATGCAACATTCTTCACTCCACTTTACTGCATTTCCCCCATAACACTTGATTCCTCTACTAATCAAGAATCAATCTATCTATCTATCTATCTATCTACCTCATCCTTGAATATACATAAAGTCTTTGGCCCACAGCTCTCTGTGGCACGAAGTTCCAAGACTCAACCCTCATCTCAGTCTTAACCTAATGCCCCTTTGTTCTGAAACCATGCCCTCTGGTCTCATTCTCTCCCATGAGGGGAACATCATCTCAGCATTTACCCTGTCAAGCTCCTTGAAAATCCTATAATGAGATCACCTCTCATTCTTCTAAATTACAATGAGTCCCAACCCGTTTAGCCTTTCCTCATAAAACAATCCTTCCATACAGGGATCATCCTCATGAGCCTTCTCTGAATTGCCTTCAATGAAATAATATCTTTAATGTAGAGGTAGTTTTATAAAGCCAAGCTTGTTGAATGGCACAAGAGGGCTGAAATGGTCTCCTCCTGTTCCTAGGAACAGGAACAGGCCATTCAGCCTCGAGTCTGTTTCAACGTTCAATGAGATCATGGTTAATCCGTGGCCTAACTTCATATACCTGCCTTTGGCCCAAATCTCTTAATAGCTTTGCTTAACAGAAGTTTATCTCAGATTTAAAATTAACAACTGGTTTAGCATTACACATTGTTGTTGGAAGACAGTTCCAAACCTCTACTATCTTTTGTGTGTAGAAGTGTTTCCTAACATCTCTCCTGAATACTCTGGACCTAGTTCTCAGAATCCCCAACCACTGGAAACAGTTTATCTTTATCTACCCTGACCTTTTCTGTTAATTTTTGAAGACTTCAATCAGATCACCCTTTCATCTCCTAAATATTACAGAAAACAAGCCTAATTTATATAATCTCTCCTCATAACTTAACCCCTAAAGTTTAGGTTTCACTCTTGTAAACCTACAATGCACTCCCTCAAAAGTCAATATATTCTTCGTAAGGTGTGGTGCCCGGATCTGCTTGCAGTACTCCAAAGGGGTCTAACTACAGTTTTGTACACTGCAGCATTACCTCTACATCCTTATATTCCAGTCCTCTAGATATAAAGACCAGCATTCCATTAAGCTTCTTGATTGTTTTCTGCACCTGTTCATGGTATTTCAGAGATTCATTCACCGGAACCCCCAAGTCTCTTTGGACATCCACTGTGTTTAACTTCATATCATCCACAAAGTATCCTGATCTATCCCTTTTCAGTCCAAATGGATAACCTCACACTTAAGAGTCATACAGCATGAAGAGAGACCCTTCGGTGCAACTAACCCATTCTGATTATGTTCGCAAACCAAACCAGTCCCATTTGCCTGCATTTGGCCATATCCCTCCAAACCTTTCCTATTCATGGACTTATCCAAATGTCTTTTAGATGTTGTTACTGTACCTGCATCCACCATTTCCTCTGACAGTTCATTCTACATACAAACCAATCTTGTAAAAAAAGTTACCCCCATGTCTTTTTTAAAAACTTTCTCCTCTCACCTTAAAAATATGCTCTTAATTTTGAACTCCCCCACCCTAGGGAAAAGACCCTTGTTATTCACGTTATCTTGCTTACACTGAACTCCATCTGCCATAGTTTTGCTCACTTAGCATAACATTAGAAAGGGATAAAGATAGACTATCATCTACACTGTATACAATGCTGCCTAACTTTGTATCATCAGCAAATATAGATACATGACTTTCAAAGTTATTATCCAAGTCATTAATAAAGAATGTGAATAATTGAGGCCCTAACACAGGTCCTTGAGACACACCACTGGTCACATTCTGCCAATTTGAGTACCTACCCATTGTCCCTACTTGCTATCGCTTGCCAATCAACCAATTTCCCAGTCATGTGAGTACTTTGCCCTCAATTCCAAACGCTTCTATCTTAGTCATGAGTCTCTTATGTGGGACTTTATCAAATGCTTTCCGGAAGTCCACATAAACAACATCCATAGACTTTCCCCTGTCCTTACTCTTCTCTTCAAAAAATTCAATGAGGTTTGTCAAGAATGCCCTACCTGTCATGAATTCATAGCAGCTCTCTAACTCAAAATTTGAGGTGTTCAGTTATCCTATCCTTGATTGTAGACACCAACAATTTCCCCGCCATAGATGTTAGACTAATTGGTCTATAATTCCCCTGGCTTTCCTCTTTCACCCTTTTTAAAAAGCTGAGTGACACGTGCAATTTTCCAATCCAGAGAGATGGCTCCTGGATCAAAACAATTTCAGTTAGGGCATCTATAATGTGCTCCCTTACTTCCTTTAAAAACATTGGCTGGAAACTGTCAAATCCTGTGAATTTGTCAGTCTTTAATTCCACTAATTTCTTCATTATTGATGTTTTACTTATGTTAATTTTATTCAGTCCATGTCCTCAATTTATTATTAATTTCCTCAGGACTTCCAGCAAGCTATCCTCCTTTTCTACTGTAATTATTGAGGCAAAGTAATTATTTAACATGTCTGCCATTTACCTATTGTCACTGACAATATCCCCACTTTCAGTCTTTAGGGGCCCAACACTGCTGCTGACTATGTGCTTTCCCATTATGCAACTATAAAATTTCTTCTTATTGATTTTGATGTCTCTTGCAAGTTTCCTTTAATAATCTCTTTTAATAGCTCCTTAAAAGCTGCATTGTGACCTTAGGTTCGTCTTTGTATTGTTCCCAATTGGCAGGATTTGTGCTTTTTTTTGCATTTTGTAAGCCCTTTATATTACATTTATACTGTCCCTTACCTCTTCAGTTGTCCCTAGCAGTTCGTTTACCTGTAAAGTGGAGCTTTCGCCTCTCAAAAGTATAAACTGATTCTGTATCGCATTAAAATGTTTATTTTTATGTTTTCTCTGGACAAAGTGATTGACTGAGCAAATGCTCAATGCAATATAAGATGGATAAACGTGAGGTAATCGACTTTGGTACAAAAAATAGGAAGGCAGATTACTATTTGAATGGCTGTAAATTGAGAGGGAGGAATATTCAATGAGATGTGGCTGTCCTCGTGCACCAGTTGCTGAAAGTAAGTGTGCAGGTGCAGCAGGCAGTAAAGAAGGCAAACTGAATGTTGGCCTCAGCAAGAAGATTACAGCACAGGAGCAAGCATGTCTTGCTACAATTATACACAGCATTGCTGAGGCCACACCTAGAATATCATGTGCTGCTTTGGTCTCTATCTGAGGAAGGATGTTCTTGCCATAGTGGGAGTGCAGCAAAGGTTTACCAGTTGATTCCTGGGATGGCAGGTGTGGCAAATGAGGAGAGATTGAGTCAGTTAGGATTATATTCATTGGAATTTAGAAGAATGAGAGGGGAATCTCACCGAAACATAAAATTCTAACAGGGTTAGACATATTAAATACAGGAAGGATGTTCCCAATGTTGGGGGAATCCAGAACCAGGCGTCATAGTTTACAAATAAGGGGTAAAACTTTTAGGACAGAAATGAGGAGAAATTTCTTCACCCAGAGAATGGTGAGCCTGTGGAATTCACTACCACAAAGTTGTCAAGGCCAAAACATTGTGTTTTCAAGAGGCAGATAGATAAAGCTGTTGTGGCTAAAGGGACCAAGGGATTCAGGGGAAGGATGAGGGTATTGAGACTGATGACCAACCATAATTATATTGAATGGCAAAGCAGGCTCAAGGGGTTGAATGGCCTACTCCTGCTCCTGCTCCTGCTCCTATCGTCTATGTTTCTATGTTAACCATCCTCTACTGTTCTTCAGTTATTTTACCCATTAGCAGATTTTCCCAGTTGATTGTGGACAGTCTCTGTCTTATCTCATTAAAGTCAGCCATATCTAAATCTAAAATTCTAATAGCTAATTCATGCTTTTCACTTTCAAAAGCTACATTAAACTTGATCGTGTTATGATTATTATTTGATAAATGTTCACACACAATTAGGTAACTAATTAAATCCGGCTCATTACTAAATCCAATATTGCTTGTCCCTTGTTGCATCCAAGACATATTGCTATAGGAAACTATCCCAGACACAGTCCAGAAATTCAGCACCTTTCTAACAGGTGCTTGTCTGACTCTCCCAATCTTGGTTAAAGTTAAAATCCCCCCTTAACACAACACTGTCTTTGCTACACTCTTGCCTAATTCTGCATTTATACAATCTAGCACTTCAGAGCTACGACCAGGATGTCTATGCACAACACCTTGGACATCTGCATACTTAAAGCTGTAGGGTACATCAATCCATATCATACCCGCTATAAGTAACAAGATCATTAATATCAAAACAGATAATTTAAACAGCTGTATTTCTTTTTTTTAATGAAATACTCAGACTTAATGGAAGCAAGGAAGAAATTGGCAAAGGTTCAAAGCCTAGCCAATGGAAAAAATTCCTCCTCAAATCTTGATACTGAGGAGCTATCTGGATCTTCAAAAATAGCTAACACTACTAAATGTTGATTATCTTGTTTATTATGGGTTTTAAAAAAAAGACTGCACCCGCCTGCTTCATCCAACTCTCAAGCCAATACAAACAGATTGAAGGTTACTGTATAGACATATGATCATATACTCCACGGAGCTCTGTGACTCTGACACTGTTTTGAAAAACAGACTGAAACGTGCTGGAACTAAACATTATTTGGATAACTGTTAGTTTTGGGTCAATTGTTTTCAAGGTCATAAAGAAGTTTAGAATTTGGGTGTTTCATTTATTTACTATTGCGCACAGTCAAAAGAATAAACAGATTAACAGTTCAGAGATAGTAGGAACTCCTGATGCTGGAGAATCTGAGATAACAAGGTGTAGAGCTGGATGAACACAGCAGGCCAAGCAGCATCAGAGGATCAGGAAAGCTGA